TGATAATTATGAAGTTAATATGCAGAAATAAATTAAACAATATGCATATATTTATGCTTAAACCGTAGAGAATATTATAAAGAAGATTTTTTGACTTTTAGATTCGTTTTTTTTAATTCGATAATATAATTTTTTTTTAACTTAAAATGATGTATTCTTGTCCTTCTGGGTTGAACAAATTTCGTGCACTGTGTTTCGGAGAAAGATCTTGGGTAGAGAAAATCGGTCGAATACCGGCGAATCTGAATGTGCCATACGTCAAAATCAAACGATTCCTATTTATAAGTTTAACGGCGCGGTAAGCCAGCGGTGGCTTCGATCGGACACCTGTTCTCATTCAAACAAACGTGAATTATTATTTCAAACTGCAACGCTGCCAGTAAACCGCCAGACATCTCCGCCTGCGATTTTGGGAGTAACTTACCATCTTGTATCGTCTTTCAACCTACGACAAAATCTATACGAATATTAACAAAGAATGCTATAAGATTTTGTAATGCGCGTTCAATTTAATTTACGACTAAAATAAATAATATTTTGCCAAAAATATCATTTAATCGTTAAGTTACGCAAAGCCACTTTTATTGTTTAACTCTCTTTTTTTTCATATTCCATAAAACTTTTTATAATATTTTACTTTAAGATTTTCGTATCAAATGAATATATTGAGAGCTAAATTCTTGTATACAGAATTTACGAATAAAAATTAAAATACTTAATATATTTACAAATATGTGGAATATATTTCCAAGATATAATTTCAAAAAGTTCGAAGATTAAAAATCAAGGTCTATTTATTCTTGTTCTTTTTGAGTTTTGAAATCAAAATGCAACTGGTAAAATGTCTGACTTAACCGCCATTAAAAATGCGAGAAGAGAAAACACACAAGCGTGTGTTTGCTCAAGTTCTCTTTCGTTTCGAGCGCATCCCACGTCTTCCACCTCGGTACATATAGGTCACTGGGTGCCGGAGAGGACCCTTTGTCACGCGCGCGCATGTGGGCCCCGAAAGATCTCAGGCCTGAGGAAGTCGATGTTTCTTCTTTTACGTTCTCTTCTTTTTGCTCGCGAGCAGAAGAAACGGGCGGAGGAGGAAGAGGAGGAGGAGGAACCGGAGTGGAAGGTTGAGAGAAGGAGGAGGAGTTGCAAGGGCATTAGGCCCCCCCGAATACGGAACGATAAAATTCTTATGAAACACCCGCATGTGCAGACAGCGAAAGGGAAAAGCGGTCCTCCTTCTCCGCGATTAAGCAACTCCGCGACTATAGCTGGAGAATTTGATGTCTCCGGTTAAAAAAACATTTAACCGTCGAAAACACGTGGCATTCGCCATTGATCGTAAATGTCTTTTTAATATCCTATGTTTCTATTTCTTGCTAAAGTGTCATTCCTTCGAAGATGTAAATTCTTATTCAAGTGCTGATTCTTAATTAACTTACAATATTCTGTAGTTTCCTCTAATTGTATGTTTCATTCTTATTGATTTTGAATTAATGGATGTAAAGCATTTACAATATCCTGTATTAATATTGATTGTGCTTGTTCAAATAAATGCGCGAGAAGAGTGAAATAGCGACCGGCCGGAAGTTGCGAATTCTCTCCGAGAGGATTGTCAGCGAGCGAACGCGGTGATGAGCCATGTCGCGAGATCTCGACGCGTTTGCGCTTCGGAGAAAATATGTATCTTAATGCTATCTTTAATGATTTATTCACGGAGATAAAACAGCGCTACGAGTGCCGGCGCGATTGAGAGGAATGTAGTGAATTGAGGTCGAAGCGAAGTGGAAGACGCGAGATGCGCGAGATGTAAGAGTGTCAGCATCTTCGAGAGCTCGAAGATGCTGAGGAGCGACACGTATGTAAGCATTAATTGAATCGCGTTACGTAATTCAACGAGAGATTTCGAAAAAATACGTTTCCTATACAAAAAGATCATAGTTATTCCTTTTTTTCGGTTGTAGAAAATTTTCTACAATCCGGGGCATAATCGAGCGAAACACATCCTTTAAAATACTTTTTTACTGCAACAGAGCTTGACTTGTCAAGAGAGTTGAACGCGATATGGAATAAAATTTCGAGACAACATGTAAGATCGATACGTACAGAGCAATACTCGACGGATATACAAATTGGATCTAAATTTATTCATGATCAATACCTATACTCTGTACGAAGTCGCTGATTCATTACCACTATCTGATAGGGTAACGTTAATCGATGATTTATAAGATACGAAAGACCGTGAAAGTGACAGAGCGACGAGTTGTTGTTAAATATAAAAGTTGATAGTAATTGAAATAAATTTCTCGAGTTGGAACGCAACTGTATGTATGCAAAATATCTTCGTAATTATGACAGTAAAACGAGGTATAAAAAAACTTTCCTTTTATTAATATCTATTTATAATTTATACTTATTATATTTATATCTATTTATATATATGTATTTTAGCACGCGTGATTTTATAATATAATATATAATTATAGCTATCTACATATTATTATAACGTTGACATTTAAAGTTAATTTATTTAGAGATATTTTAAATTCTTTATTTTGGAATGATCTAAATTTGCTGGTAAAGACGCTACGATTTTTCTACGCATTTCCGGCGTTACGTAATCCTGTCATCAGTAGTCCGCGCTCGTAAAAATATTGAAGTATAATGAATACCCGGTGTATCCGGTGCGTAAAAAAATGTGCGAGAAAATTCGTCGTGGGTGGGCCACAAGCAAGCAAGCCGGTGAGCAAGAACTAAAAGGTTGTCAATCCCTGTCAAGAGTAATTTTGATAGACGCGTCCACCGGAGATCGGCCAAACGCAACCAGACAGATAATCAGTCAATTTTTCAACGCCTAATTGCGGTTGAAAACGCGGCGTCGAAAGAGAAACGGCGTAAAGAAATTCTTGAATTTGATCGAGAAAAAAATAAAATGTAGTTTGTCGATAAGACACTCTGATTTTTCTCTGTGCAATTTGAAAAGCATGTGTTACGTAATCCTTACGAATGATTTGCGCACAAAGATATTGAAGTATAATAAAGATCCGGAACATTAGACGTGCAGTTTTCCGCCCGGCTACTTTACATGCTCGACCACGCTTACTAAATACGAAGTATAATAAATATTCATATTTATTATACTCTTATAATTCATAAATATTTAAATCACTCATATAATTCACAATTTATGATTTTCATATAAATTATTATGATTCGTATGTATAATATTATGTTGTAAATATTTATAATTTAATTTAAAAGCTATACGCTTCTGATAAAAAAAGGGAAACAAATAGGAGTGAAACGCTTATGTCCAGTTTCGTGTTCTTATATACTTTTGTCTGAACATGAAAAATTAATTATTTGGTATTTGACGCATTAACTTTTTACATTGTAACAAACAAGCAAAAAGTGTGTCGAATATGAACAAATATTTTAATGTATTTAATTATTAATTTAAGATTAACGTTTTAAAAAATGAATTGTAATACCTATTAAACGCAATTGGTGGAATTCTCACCGCTCGACAAGATCGTCTTCCTGGTCATATCTCGTTATCGGCAATTCAATTGTACAGGTGCTGCCGAGTCGGCTCGGTCCGTAGGCGGGTGCATGTACATACATCGATCATTGATAGATCGCGAAGGTTGCGATCGCATCGATAAGAATCTGCCGTGATGCGGCTACGGTATTGATGTCCTACGGGAAAAAGCAAAGATACATATTTATATTTTAGTGTGATTTTAGTATTTATATTTAATATTTTTAAAATGTGACAGTTCAATATTTAAGCTATGATATTTATATGAAAGATATTAAGTATATATTGTGTATATCTAAGAAGATCTTATTGTATTACGAAGATACTTTATTACATACATATATGTAATTCGAGATGTAATTGTGAAGAAGGTAGTTGCGTAATACAATTGGAACTTCTTGGATGTGCACATGTATAAGTATATGTATATATACACCTAAATATACTTTATAATATAAAATATTTATAATATAATATAAAAATGACACTTTCAATACAAAACAAGCATGTGTTGCACATTTATCTATTGGCGCTTTTGTGTCACTGTGATTATGAAATAGTACGTATATGTGACGTGAATATTTCGATAAAATGCGCGAAATAGACTCACGACTTTCCAGATAATCGGATTATTCATTTTCGCGATAGTGCGCCAAACAAGAGTAACTATTATACGATATATTTCACGCGACGCAATAACCAGGCGTCAGTCTTTCTCGGGAATTCCGGAGACCGAAGCACACGGAGCAAGCGATAGAGAACGACATCCTCGTTTGCGGTTTTCACAGGATAATTTATTTTAAGAGTTCGCACGGGTCTCCATGGATCTCGGCTTAATTATAGGCCATGTTGAAAGGCCCTAAAATTATAGGCTCGCTTTGGTCCTTATAAATATACGTGTTTCGTTTTATGTGCAGTTGTTTCAATTCGATCTTCTGCGCTTTATTTCAATCGTAATAAAGACAAGTATGTGCCAATTTGGCACTGTCAAATTGCCTTTATTACTATTACATTCTGATTTTTTATTCGTCAAGTCAATATCTGTTTTTCTTTCTTGTGTTTATTTCAATCTCCTTCAATTTTCTTTATTACTCCAACCTATCAAAATTGCTACTGAAACTAATTTTAGAATCCAGCATTTTCGAAATGCCTAATTATATGTATATCTCCAGAACGCTTTCAGATTTAATTAATTTAAATCAAAATTATAAAAATATAATGACTTAAGAAATAATTAATAAGCATAAGGCCGCCGAATGCATACATTTCAAAATTCTCAATTTTCAATTCTTTTCAAACTTTAATTTTCTGTAAATTTTTTTCATATTTTTTTGCTGAAGAGTTAATAAAATAAAAGCCAAGAATAAATTTCCTTTTTATCTTCGAAACATTCAATTAAGCTTAGCACGCTTTCAGGCTTAATTAGTTTCACGCGACGCTCTTTGGTTGGTATGTCCAGGTTAGATAAATGGTGAGAGCCCAGCACAAGCCATGTACAATCTGAACGTGAACGTGAATCCCAGCCCGACCGGGGCCGCGGGTCTTCTCGGTGTCACGGCGGCGGCGGCCGAGGTCACGCCAAGGACACCGGAAATCGTAAATTCGCTGATCGCCATGACCAATCCCTTCGAGGGTTACGGCAGCGGCAACGAGAAGGGCATGCGGGACCGTACGGACTCGACCAGCAGCGGCGAACCGAGCCCGCCAAGCGTCCAGCACACCTGTAGTCAGCTTATCAAAGAAGGTAAATGAAGAATACATTCTCGACATTCATTATATCGTACTAATTGTTACATATATATGTGAATGTGTTCCAGTGAGTAAAATTTAATTGCGAAGAATTTCTAAAAAATAAACTCGAGAAGTCGACTTTTTTTTTTAATAACAAGATAACAAAGATAACGGACGAAAATCTATTAAATATATCGTGAGATTTTCACAGAATGTTAATTTAATAAAATTCAATATATATTGAAATATTTGTACTCTTAAAAAGTTAAATAAAATAGTAGGTATATGTATACGTATGCATGTAGGATGTGTCGAATATTTTAGATTTATCTTGCATATTTATCAAGAAAATTAAAATTTGACCTAGTACCTAGCAAGAGTAACATATTTAATTTTTTTTTCTAAATCTGCTATAAAATAAATATTTACTCTTTTACTCTTGCTATTTATTTTTTTATGTGTACCTACTTTTGATAAATCTCGGAGCAAATATTAATTGCTTCATATTTTTTATAAAGCACGCAAACGCGAGAAAAGTCTGAGCTAAAAAATCTAAGCGAGATTTGCTCGCATTGCACCCACTTTATCCACATTTTACAAATGTCAATGACAATATAGCGGGTTATTCTGCTCGTTAACATAATGTACTTCTCTTTCCTTTCCTCTTTAATCTTTTTGCCTTCACTATGTACACAGCGCAACGCATTAAATAGCAAATCCTGTTCCTTTCAAATTACGGATTACGCAACATACGCACACACGCAATCACAAAGGAGGATCGTTATCGTAATTGCCTTTGCGGTTTTGTTCGCACCGGTGGCGCTGATCTGTTATATACTAACTGCCAAATTAATTAATTGAAATTTTTTTAATTGACTTAACAGAATAATGTAGAATACGTGGATGTGTGTAGAGTGAAGCGACACACAATCTATTATCAAAAATAATAGATTGTGTGCCGCGATCGCTGACACAAATTATCCTTAATTATCGCGATTTAATCCCTCGAAGGTCACGAGAGTGTCCTTGTACCGCGAGGAAATATTAGCGATCACTGTCATTTTCTATGACATTATAATATACGTGCGTTGCAACACATTTTCGAGTCCACTCTCCGGAAGTCTGTAATTTATTGTGGCATTAAGGAACACAGACGAAATAAAGAATTATATTCGCGCAATCTATTCGATCTTTTGATTTTATATAATGAATATGATTCTCAAGTTATTTTTACACATCACAGTTAAAGTTCTCTTTATGGTTTCCAAAAAATGAGTAAAAGAAGAAAATGAATTGATGAAGTAAAAGTCATATAGAAAATCTCAGAAAATGCACTGTTACAAATTTTAGTAATTAAAAAAAAATTACAAACCAATTATTTTGACTGTCTTGATAATTCCAGTGCAGTACTTTCGATGATGCTAATAAAAAATCTTGCTATCTTTTAAAGTTAAAATTATATTGGAACTGAAATAAAAAATCAGATTTAATTTAAACAAATTTTTATTTTATATTTTAATGCGAAATAATGAGGAAAGGAACTCCTCCTTTTCATTACAGCGTCTAATTATTTTCTGGGTAATTTTAATGGATTCTCTGTTTATAGCGAGAATGATGGCTATTTTGGCCTCGGTAATATACCTGGGAGCAAAATTAATCAATGGAAATTAATTAAACTCTCCTTTGGACAGGGCTGAAGTTAACGCTGCAGACGAAGAGGCGGGCGAACAGTAGTGGCGACGACAGTAAGAAAAAGACGAAGAAGGAGGACGGCAGCGGCGCCGACGACGAGGAAGAGGACGAGGCGAGCAACAACAACAACAAAGCTGGTGTAAGTAAATCTTTGCATTTCTTTATTATTCTCCTTAGAATCAACTTCACGCAGAGTTTTTTTTTTTCGAAAGCTTCTTGGTAAGAATTGTCACTTTTCATACTCATTCTTAACCCTTTGTACCTTTTGATTAATTCTTCAACTTGATTATATAAATGATATTAAGTATCACAAAAGTAAAGAATCATTAGTTAATAGCTTATCTCTTAGGAATTTTTAGAAAATAAAAATTATTTGTAATTTTATTTATTGTCGAGGAAATGCTATTAATATTAAAATTGCAAAATTTATAGCTTAATAAAATATTTAAAGTATTCAATAAAATAAAATTAATTTGGACTACAGAGGGTTAAAATTCCAGATTCTGTAGAAGATAATTTCTTTTTTTTTTATAGGATTTTTATGTAGTTGATGATTTATAAACAATAAATGAAATTTTATGATTGCCTTTCTCTGAACTTTATTTCCCAGTCCTTTCCTTTATTAATTCTAATGTGAACATTCAGGGAGGAGTAATAAAGTAAAAGAGATGTTACGTTGCATTATAATTTCTAATAGAAAATTAATAGATTATAATTTTGATATAAAATCAGGAGAAATTATACATAAAATTTTAACGACTTGGTAAAAAATTACTTGATATCTTTTTACTGCAAAAAGGAATCCCTGAATCTTTTCGGTAGTATTGATTTTCCAGAAAAGTGACAATTCTGCTCACTAAAAACGAAACTGAAAAATATGCAAGCAAATTAAAAGCATAAGATATAACAAACTCGAATTCGTATAAAAATCTTACGAAGAAAAACAAATTAACCGTCAAATTTTTATTATTTTTTAAATTATAGATTACATATTTTACACTCACGTGTAAAAAGTCTCCAATTATTTTGATTTGATTGAGATAGTATTGTTAGATCTGTTCGTTTTAATTGCATTTTTCACACTATACCTACTTCTTTCTTACTTTCTTTCAAAAATCTAGATGTATATAATACTCGTTTTATTTTAATTTTTATTATTTATATAATATATAAAATGATATAAATTGATCATCAAAAGAAATGTCACATGCAGAAAAAGTGCAGTTAAAACGAGCAACTTAAGTGGTTGAATGAAACACGCGCGAATACATAGCGACTCGATTCCATCTTAGCAATTCTGGCAATAGCTTAGAGACTCGTTCCCAGACCAGACAACGAATCCTTTCGATTCTCCTTATGTCCTTGGCTGCCGTTGCGACTTAAACTCGCGTGCGCGAATAAATTAATTCCGACAGGCGCCGTGTGTCCAGCCATTTTGGCAGTTTCGACATTCGCGAATTTGCATGCCGCACATAGAATCGTTTGTTTACGGCACGAAATGCAAGCTGCTAAAATTAGCGGACTCTTGAAAGCGCAAAGAAGTAACGCGCTTGCATTTTAATCGCTATACGGATCACGTTTGTAATCGCGATTTAAAAAAATTATACATTTCTATTCTTTTAATGTTTCCATTTCTATTTTCATGTCATGTTTTTGAGTAGATTTCACGCTGCTAACATTGCTATCCTAAATATATAGGATAATGAATACCGTACGTGCAACTCCGTAATAAAATTTCACAACATATATTTCGTATTTTATTTTTAGAGTAACTCGTAAGTATATAACACCGAAATTTATTAATCTGTACAGAACTGTATACATTGTGAACTTTACAAATAAATTTTTTTAATGAAACATTAAATTTATCGTGACTGTTAAGAAAGGTCAGGATATGTTTAAATGGTTTAAATATAAATAAGATAAAAATGAGTATAATAACATCGTGGCTTAAATATAATTCAGAAGTGCATTATAACATGTACTCGCATAACTCCTTATCCAAAGATCATGCCGAACTCCATTCGAATCCGCCGTTGATTAACACCTCTATGTCTATCCTCGCTAATTCTTGCTAATGCGCGTGAAAGTGCAACGAGCTGCAAACCATTAGAATCTTCTCTCAAACGATTTTGCCTATCGTTATTATTCAATAGACAAGCGATGAATTTTTACATAAAATATTTGCGCGATTTTCATCGATCAAAATCACAAAAACCTCAAAATATAGGGACTCAGATACAATTCGCGTCTAGATTTTTTAACGGCGAGATTCGGAGAACACCCAAGAAATTTCCCAACTCTTTTAAGAACTCCTTTTCACATCTTCAGGACATTAAAAGCTTCGCGAATTGTAAGAATATAAACAAATAAAATCTTTTAACGATAAAAATAAAGATTTCAGAAATCTTGCTTCTCTAAAAGAAAGTAGCCGGGAACGAGAGTACCCCTTCTTGTCTTTTGCAAATTGGAGAAGTCCAAAACTATTTCCTGTATATAAACTCCTTTAAGGCCTCTTTTAAAGCCTCCGACATCTCGAAATTTCCGACATCTCAGGATCTCAACGGGATCTTCAAGGCCTACTTTTTACATCTCAAAGCCGGGATTTCAAAAGTTCCAAACCCGAAGAACCGAAATAACCGCAATTTCCTAAAAACAATTGAAGATACCCAAGAAATTTCCTTATTCTCCCGAAAGGATATGGACATCAGGATAAAAAATGCGGAAATCCTTTGCTCGTTGCAGCTGACGCCGGAGGACGAGGAACGGCGCCGGCGGCGGCGCGAGCGCAACAAAATTGCGGCGACCAAGTGTCGGCTGAAGAAGCGCGAGAAAACGGTGATTCTCGTGCAGGAATCCGAAATCCTCGAGACCCAAAACCACGACCTGAAGTCCCAGATCCAAGAGTTGGAGACACAGAGGCGCAGGCTGGTCGACATGCTGAGCCTCCACGGTCCTACCTGCTTGAAGGGCGTGGACACGACGTCGTTTCAGCAGTTCGCCGAGCCCCTTCATCTCCCCAGCTATCAGGACAATTTTGTGCCACAGCAACCCCCGCCGGCCCTAAATCAGCCGCAGAACTGCGTCACCGAGTATCCGGTGAAGGTCGAGGAGTACGAGACCGATTTCTACCGGCAGGGTAGCCCCTTCGTGCCGACAACGTCGGACGCCGGTTGCACGGTTTAGCGAAACGGCGAAAATCGTTTTTCTTCGCCATCTCGAGGGAGGGAGGATCGCCGAGAAGCCCGGAGCGCGTGTATAATAATTGAAGGTTCTTGGAGTATTAGAGACGGTCTCACCAACATTAATTTAGTTTAGCCAAGATACAGAACTTCAAAAGATATTTAATTGTAAGGCCGGTATTCATAGTCACTTCAGATCATCTTCAGATACTCCGTAGCTAATGAAACGAGTCGTACAGCATCTAAAGATAAACTTGAGACGATCTTAAATATAAGATCTGACTATGAATACCGCTCTAAAAGATATCTGAGGAACATACTTTCATAAAAAAAATATATATTTTTTTTGTTCCACACAGATAGATGATAATATTAACGAAGATTGAAAATTATATGGTGAATGTTAATTGTTGGTGAAACTCTCTTCGCGAATTCAATTTTAAAGATATTTTGTATAAAATTTCATTGAGAGTTATGAGAAAGTGTTTGAAAGAAATTTTAATATTTTATATTAATATCTATCAGAGTGTATATTTTATATTACATATTCTATAGTTTGCATGTCAGAATTTTTTATTTCACATTTTATAAATTCTAGTTATTAATTAAGTAGAATATTATATACACACAAAAGTTTTATTTTTGAGTTATATTTTTCAATGAACAATATACTTTGCTCGTTGAAATGGTTGGCGTCAGGATGCCGATAACGGCAGGATTATAAGCATTCCATGTACAAGATATCGGAGAATTGAGAAAGTGATTTCGTTGATTATCTTTAATTCTTATCTCGTTAATTTTTTTTAAATTTAATTCTTAACTTTTTAGTTTTTTAAACGAGCCATCCGAGCTTCTCACCGTTCGTCTTTCCCGATCGTAAGTCCGTAGCTCGTAAGTCGATTATTATATCGTAAACGCGAACAATGATTTTTATCTTTCGTCTTCCTCTTCATATGTCGATCTTTCCTCTCCCTTCTTTCTTGTTTCACCTTTTCCCTTTTTTTTCTAACGAGCTCTTGTTATACTCGAAAAACGTTCGACGTAGAGAACGCTTGAAGACATTCCTTCGTAATAACCGTACTGTGACATTCTCTTATAAGGCCTTTAATTAATAATATAATCGATAATGTAAGATAAAGACGGACTGTCCAGCGATGCTCGCTTTTTTGCAAGAATTATTGTTACTGTTATTTAGGATATCTGATAAAAATTATTAACTTGCTATATATTAATAGAACAATTTTTTCCGCGATTAAGAATATTCCTAATTTTTTAATTATGTTAATTGCACTATTTTTTTAATCTTTTCGAAACTGATTTCAGTTTCGATAATTTTAATTAACTAAAAATAACTCGCTTCTCTATTAGCAACGAGACTTTGAAAGTCTCTCGGAAAGTCTGCTTCTATATTTTTCAGCGAGTTCGGACTCGAATACAATATCCTCTTTATTTCCTTTTTCATGCTCGTCGCGCCGATGAAAAAACTAGTGAGACGAGTGAGCATCGCTAAAAGATATTCCGTTGTTAAATAATAAGCGAAAATCGAGACACCGCGTCGAATATTGACGACAATTGGAGAGAATTATTTTCAAAGCGCTTTAAACTCACACTTGTCGAAAAACTCGAAAAAGCATGAAAAACTTTAAAACTCTCGAAATGGGATTTAATATTCGAAAAATTTGTTTGAGATTGGTTTCGAGGTTCTAGAAAACTTTTATATTAATTCAATAGTAATGCGGGTAACTCCCATTTGAGAAAGGATTTTAAACGTTTTGGAAATAAGTTCTTTAATTTCGTGAAGCGCGTGTCTCTGATTTGCGAGACAGTGAGAAAGAAAGTACACGCGAGTACCCCGGTGTAGATAAGTCTGCTCTATCATTGATATTGATTATCAAGGAGTCGATAACATGCGTTCAGAGGATACTTATAATTATATGAGTAACGAGAATGATATTTAATATTATATATGTACGTACGCATATATTTTATACAAATGCATATTATATGTTATATATAATATGCGTATATATTATTATATATTATATATATGTATATTTATACATGTAACATATACATATATATAATACAATGCGCGAACAATTGCATAAATAAGTGCACGCCATTAACAATTAATGAACACTTAATTACATGACGATTATTAAACATTAGATTCGTTGGAGAACCGAGAATTACGTGCCTAACGACATACCTCAATTTAGCTTCGTTTTATTCTCCCTCAGTGCGTTTGCAAATTGAGATTTTATTGTGGTTAAGTTCTTGGATTTAGTTACCAATAATCATATTAAAACTTATGCAAATAGATAAAAACAGCACGGAAATGCCAAAGAAAACTGAGAAAGCACGATATAACGTGTTGTTAATTCTAATCATTGTTACAATACAAGTTTGGCGAGCAAATTCTATATGTTCAAATTCAATTTTTTAGAATTACTTAATACTTTCAAAATAAAAAAATAACAAGTTTTGATTTAAATATATTTTTCCTATAATTACAAATATATATCCAGTTTTCGTTTTGAAATAATTTTAAATCGTTTGAAAGATTCATCTTTATTTTATTTTTTAATTTGGCAAGCGCACTTTGGGCTACGCTTATAAGATGATTTCTCACGTAATCTATGGAAGTTAGTCTGATCGTTAGCGGAATGCGCTGTAATTATTTTAATTAACGAAGAAAAACGCTTATACAAATCCGCGGACTAAACGACTTTTCCTATTCGGAGTGTGTGTTGCTACAGATTGATAAAATAATTCTTGCTAATAATACGAAACCCGAGAAACTTTTCCGCCGCTTCGCGAGCAAAGCAAAGCGGGACAAAGTCTTTCGTGTTTTTCCCTCTCTTTCCCTTCGATAGTATACGGAATTTACGAAATCATGTAAAATCCAAGTATGACTTTTAATCTATAAATCGCAAAGAGAGAGAGAGAGAGAGAGAGAAAGAGAGAAAGTATGGCAGTCGTGCCAGTATCACACAACAGCGATACGTGAATGGTGCTAGAAATATTACCTTCTTTTTATAGAATTTTTATCAAGTTGCCAGAACAGAGTATTTAATAGTTTAATGTGCCCTTAGGGGGACAATAAACTTCTATCTATTTAATAGTTTAATGTGTATTAAATGTTAGATTGGGAGATATTTTATTTCGAAATTGGAAAGTAATATTATTAAGCTAATGTTTCACAGCTCCGATATTAAGAACTCCATTAAAAGCGCTTTGGTAAATTTACATTTGCGCAATTCTTGCGATTTTAAATAGCCCGTTCTATTCGAATACTGCCAATACTAAGATCCCGGATATCGTGGCTTCTAGTATCTAAGGACTCGTTTATTTCTTTTTTTTTTATCATCGACGAATTCTTTTTTCTTTTAGAAAATATAAGCGCCGCTTTTTGGAGCTATGTTAAGTTGCGAAATAGTAAAAGAAAACTGCGTGCCAGATTTTTACAAGATCATTATTATATCTTTTACGTATATTACTCAGTACCTGGCTATGGTTTTCCATGCAACGTGGCCGTTTTTCTCAAAAAAAAAAAAAATTTTTTTTATTGATACACACTGCGCGAACAAGATAAACGGTCAACAAAATTTTATCGTTATAACCTGAGGAAAAATTTTATTCTTCAAATAAAAGTGTCTTCAATACTAAAAAATGACTTTTAGGATTCCTTTCATGCTAAGGATTTTACTCCTATGGAAATTTTGATTTGAATTAAAATGTTATCATAAAAGAACTTAATTAATACATAAGAAGATAATCGAAACTATTTATTTCGTTTATTTTTGTATTTTCAAACAAGACGGTTGCGATTGTGTCTTATGTTCAAGATATCGTAATCATACACATTTCTTAGATTTTATTTTAAATCTCGTTCTTATTTTTCATTGGATATATAATTAGTAAAAAAAGAAGGTAGGTAATTTTTTAGACAACTATTTTATTACAAAACTCATTAATATTACGCGGGTCTCTCTCACCTACCTCACTCACGAAATTAAATCAATACACAGCAAATACATTTTTGTATTATAAATAAGAGTAAGAAGGGACATGCAACAACGGAAATAGTCTTACAGAACCTTATCAATAATTTTCTTAAGAATATTGATGAGAATCTTCAGGATTAATTTTATGAACCTCTGAAAATAAAAAAAGAATTACGTTTAATTATCTTCTCGAATGATTAAAGATAAAGTGGCGATCCTGTGAATACTCACACAATGATATTGTTGATTGGAATGTGGATTAGCTTAACAAAGAACCCTATGAAGCCCATTATACAGAAACCAATCGCAGTAGCAATTGCAATCTTCTGAAATTCTGTAATAGATAAAAAGCGAGTTGCGACTAATCGTCATAATCGTTGTTTCATATTCACGTCATCAAAATTAAGTTTACCTTTACGATCTGGCTTGGTGCATCTTTTGACAAGCCGGATGCTATCCTTGGCAAACTGACGGCCAGGTTCGGTGAGCTTCTTGATTTGATCCATGGCGATTGGGATACTGCGAAAGAAATAGAAGTACAGTTTCGGAAACATCTGATCAGCCAAACATAAATATCTAAAGTATATTCCAATTTTCAGACGTTCTTCGAGCTTTCATATTGAGCAACAGTGGTCGACCATATTTTATGATAATACTATAACAGTAAATCTGTTTTTTTTTTTTTGTAGTTATACTTTTTGTACTTAAAATAAAATAGGCAAATAATTAGACATTGCGGAGAAAAAGAAAAGTGCTGAAAAGTTGATTGCAAAACACAAATTTACTATTACATTCGTGTCAAAATGTAGTCCATGAAAGATACTATATATATTCTTAGCATACAGATACAAGATGTCTATATTTTCATATAGTAAATAAAATCTGTATTATGAGAACCTCTAACTTTTGTACGTAGGCAAAAAAAAAGTATTGATCGACCATTTTGCACAACACTACAAATCTTGTGTCACGATACTTCGGTTCGCCAAAAATATTTGATTCGTATGTGAAGTACTCTTGGGCATCAATGTGACAAATGAGATCTGGGTTATGTCGGGAAGTTCGAATCTTTTCACAAAGAACCACGCAGGCAGATACTCGTCTCGCGAGAAGAGAACAAAATTCGTACGCAAAGATATAATCGAACAAGACAGAGATATGCGATACTCACGTTACGCGTTCCACACGAGCGCACCGCACGAAATGTCGTTTTTAATGAACGTTGGGACGCACGGCTCTGCGCGATGCGCGAGTACTCAAAATACGCTACGTGGACGGTGCGCTGTCAGGACGTCACTTCCTCACGATTGATGCTGGCACTGCTGGCAACAGCGGAGCGCTGAGGCGCCGCGACGCGGCAGTCATTTAAACACCCGTGATAAGATCTCAGTCGATATCGCTGCACGTGGGGACTCAAAGGGTATAATGAATACCGTCCTAAGATTGATATGCAAAAACGGGTTCTTTAAAAATTGTCTGAGAAATCAGGGAATCTTCTATTTTGTACTTTTACAAAACTTGTTGTTTTGGTCGATTAGATGTGGTTCAAAGAGCAAGATAGATTTTTTCGAATGGTTCCTACTTTTCATTCCTTAATTGAAAATTAAAGAACTATTTTTTTTTATAATTACATATAAAAATAAGAATACACAATTTTAACATTTATACGTGTATACAATAAGGAAAAGTTCAAGCATAATTTGTCTCAATATAGTTTTGTAACAAAAATTCGATGTAACGTGAGCTCACATGAACGAGAAATGAAGTTCGCGTCAAACCATTCATGAAACCATTTACAATGACAATAGTCTATCATTAGCGTAATGAGATAGATTACGTTTTCGTAATTTATCTCGTTAGATAAGCAGCGATACGCTTATAAATTTAGGCGCGAGGATTGCACGCAACGTCATTAATATCTGTGTGAAAATCGTGGAAGCAACATGACGCGAATCAGTGTCGCTTTTTCGCTGTTATGTGCTCTGTGCGGCATAGCATCCTCCTTTGCTTTTGTTTTCGAGGACTGCGGTAAGTGCGTACTCTATAATAATTTTGGAGAATTTTTCTCCAAGAAGAGGCTATTTGAGAAAAAAGCCGAAGACTGATTTATTAAGACTGATTCAGTGTTTTTACCTGTTGTTTGCCCCCAAAGGCTCTTTGAACCCCTGGGCTTCCAAATAAATTTCTTGAAAATTCCTTACCCAATTTTTTTTCTCTGATTTTTTTTCTCTTCTTTCAGAGAAAAAAAATTGGGTAAGGAATTTTCAAGAAATTTATTTGGAAGCCCAGGGGTTCAAAGAGCCTTTGGGGGCAAACAACAGGTAAAAACACTGAATCAGTCTTAATAAAAATTAATAAATTAATGCGGAATATAATTAAAGCCCCATGACTCAGAGAACCTCTCCCTATTCCAAAGTATCCTGAATCACGTGAGATGTTCTTTTTTTACTATTTCTTTGGACAATTTAAAATTAACTTTATTTGAATAAAAATGTAACTTTAACGTATTAATAAAATATATAATAGATAATAAATATTAGTATAGATAAGTTTGAAAACTGAAGGAATTACATTCATTCCGACGTATTATTAGCTTCGCTATTAAAAATTATTTCTAGATTTGTCACAGAATTTGCAATCAAAAAGTAATTTTAAAATATCCTGTATATTATATTGGCTTTCTTCAGTTTCTTTAAAGCATTGATAAAAACCATCCATTATAAAATCAGTCATTAATTTTGATCGAAGGAAAGAAAAAACAAGTACAAACAACAATTAAATTCGACTAATTTCATAAAAATGACAGACGATGTATAAGAATCTTATGGAATCGCTCGAAAATCCCTGTCGCAGTAATAGCGTATTATTAATTGTTCGGCTTTTATCGTTAATTATAAATTGGAGGGAGAATTTACACAATGAGAAATTCTTTTAATATCCAGACCGCCGGAAGCTATTAGCAACATTACACGTTAAGCTACTTAATTATACGCATGCTTTGGATGTTCGTCTTGATTATATATAATTATGTTGCAGCTCACACGTAACTTTCTATTATCATGATATGTAATTACAGCAAATTAGCGATATAAAGAGAGATCGCCTTCACGCGATTCGAACGTTTATGCGATCGTTGATTAAGTTCATTAATTTCAATTACATCAAATTATTACAAACAATGCAATTTGCAAATATATTTATAATGCAAATCATTTGTTTGATGATAATGTATACCTAATAAAATTTCAAATCTACTTCAGGTTCGGAGTTAGCTAAGATCAATGAGGTCGAGATTTCAAGCTGCGATGTGTCCGATGAGAAATGCGTGTTAACCCGTGGCGAGGACATACACGTAAAAGCCAAAGTTACGCCAAGTTAGTAAAATAATAACTAGTAAGAAAATAATATTTCAGTCGCGCGCATACTTTTTTTTAACGTTATTAGAAAAAATTTGATATTCCTGGGAAGAGCATTGTATGTATAATTATCGATAAACTTAGAACTTTAAATCGTAATTTTACGATAAAGATAAATAATTTTACTTATAAAATATCAATTAAAAATATCGTATTAATATATTTTTCTGCAGACACAGATATTACGGAAGTAAAAGTATTTGCATATGGAGTGATACTCGACGTGGCTGTACCCTTTCCCCTGAAAAAGCCTGATGTGTGCAAAAATCCGGATTCCGGACTCAAATGTCCTTTGAAAAAGGATCAGGAGGTTAATTATAAAGCTACGTTCGTTGTGGAAAAGAAGACCCCTACGGTAATTTCGCTTTGAGTCACATTGTTAATCTACATTTCTTCTCCTTTTTCATCTATATTACTTATTGTTAGTCTAAATTTTCCAAATTTTTTAATTCTTAAAATTTTAATTATTTCGTTAATAAAATCATCTCCGTTTTGTTTAGTTGAGCGTCGACGTTATGTGGGAATTTAAAAACGAGAAAGACGAGAAGATTATATGCATAAAATTCCCGGTGAAGATTGTATAAGATGTAGCTGGTACTTTTGTAGCGACTATGACAGATTATTATCGAAATAAACACGTTACACGTTACTTGCGTTAGTTTTTAAACAATGGACCTCGCTACATTTTCAACGCATGTCGATACAAACTTTACGATTAAAATTGTTAAAATAAACGATAGAAAAAAATGGTCTCCATAACACTTGTATTTTTAATATTCTAATATTTTAATACTCTAGTCTTTTTTAAATACTCTCTCTCTCTCTCTCTCGATGTTCATGCGCATTTTTGAAGCAGCTCGCTTCCTCGCTTGCGAGATCGTTCGCAATCGCGACAAGCAAAAGTAAGAACGCCAAACGAGCGATCGTTCTCTTCAATCGCTTAATTGATCATTAATTCCGGCGCTTAACGAGAGGTCCGAGTTATTCACTGATACTACGTTTACGCGAGCGTTACTTTTGTAGTAACTTACGATATATAATTCCTTCGCGTAAACGGGATTTTTCTTCGCGTAAACGGGATTTTGTAGTAACTTACGATAATTTACTCCGCGTAAACGAGTAAATTATCGTAAGTTACTACAGAAGTAACGCTCGCGTAAACGTAGTATATGATAAGTCTTCCCGCGCGATTAACTTATTCGGAGTAGAGTAGTAGAAATCGCGCAGGCAAGAGACGCGAATTCCGAGGTTATATATCTCACGCGACAGGCGGGACAACGATTCTCTTAAGATTCGGATATATCGCGCTTCGAAAGCATTTATTTCTCATGCACAAATTCACTCACCGATTACGGCGTGCTGCACACGGAGACCCGCCAAATCACAGCCGGGAGGATGACACGTACGGCGTCGTCGTCGTCGGTGTCCAGCACGACATTCGGCGTTCATTTCGCTCAACGACGACATTTCCCACTCGTTGCACACGACACGAGAAGGAAATATTCGGCGTGCGTCCAGCTTACAACACACACTCCGTAACTGGATTTCTTTTCGTTCGCGAGAAAGAAATTATACACGATCGACAACGTCTCGCACCGTCGCGGTCTGAATTCAACGCGTCACGTATTTACGTGCGTGACCTGCGTCGCTTGCGCGCGCAGTTACCGCCGAGCCGCCGACAGACGTCGAACGCGATTGGCTCGCGAATCGAGCCCCCGGGTCCGGCCAATCACGTTCCGCCGCTCCGAACCGCCGACGCGGCGGCGCGGCGCAGCAGCGTTAAAGGTGCCTTTTCATGCTGACGCTCGACGCTTGATTTGGGCGTCAAAACTGGTCACGTGACCAACTTCATCAATAAGAAGGCGAAATAGCATCAGATATGCGAGCGTCAAAACAAGCAATTGACTGAAACGAGCGTCAAGCGTCAAAGCTGAACACAGTTGAGCTTTTGCCATTTGACGCTGGAATTAAAAAGACTATCACGTGACCTATCACGTGATCAAGTTTGACGCCCAAATCGAGCGTCGAGCGTCAGCATGAAAAGGCACCTTAAGGCCCGGTCTACAATGGATGTCGGAAGTCGGAGTCGTAAGAAATTGACCAATCACAATCTATTATTCTCCTTGCGGTCGAAGAATAATGAACTGTGATTGGTCAATTTCTAACGACTCCGACATCCATTGTAGACCGGGCTTGTCTACAATGGATGTATTAAGTCGTAAGTCGTAAGAATTGGCCAATCACAATCGAATTTGAGGAGAATAATCGACTGTGATTGGCCAATTCTTACGACTTACGACTTAATACATCTATTGTAGACCAGGCGGTAGCGGCATACATACCAGCAGAGAGAAACCTCTCTCTGATACCAGACGCCATACTAGGCGCTACGGCGCTACCGTTGAACGTTGGAAACGGCGTACCTTCGAAGTCGGCGTGCGATCGATCGTTCTTGTCGGCGTGCGGCCTTGCCGCTTGTTTTCTTCGACACTCGGAGTACCTGCGGAAATCATTCAGAAATAATGTCATAAAATGAAACGTTTTGATTGGATAACTCATGACGCGGCGTCGTTATGCGACGCGCGACGCGTATAGTGGGAACGCACCCTTATAGTGTCCGTGCTCCGCGCGTGCCCGTCGCCGTGCTCCGTGCTGTGGATGGGTGCTGTACATACGTGTGTTTCGGAACGCACTCCTTCGTGCGATTGGCACCCCTGCTCCTCGTTTTGCCGGAAGAATCGACATCGACGCGCTCAAGAATTCGCAAGTGTTTAATCAAGTGTCTGTCGGAACGAAATAACACGAATGTGCCGTGCGAATCGCTCGCTCGAAACGGAGACGTCGAGGCGAGGATACGACAGTCGACAAATGTGAGTGATTTGCAGTTTCGTTGTGCATTCGCGGGCGATAATCGTTCGTCTTGCCATGTATCTAAATTCTCGAATAGTGTGTCGTTCTTTGAACGCTGTGCCGGGCGAATTGTAGTGCGATATCTATCTCCGATTCTCTTCGAAGGGGGAAAAGAGGGTCGAGTGACAACGTGAAATCGTATCGAGTGATTCGGAGTAATAGCATATGTCGCCGTGATACGTACTACAACGCCCGTTCGTTAATACTTTTTATTTTCGTGTATATATTTCGTGCCGCGTAAGTTAACGATCCGCGACTTCTCGTCATTGTGCGAGGTACTAAATGCAGTGTTACATTCGCGAGATTTATCGTGCTCGATCCCGTATTGTGCGTGCGATATTTAATTTTAATTGTATTTTTCATTAATCAACTGGCGTGTCTTTACTGGTCGTTCACTTGATTCGCGTAGTGTATATAGCGTCGCACCAGGTTACCGACGTCTTCGAATATTTCGTCGTCGTTAACGTAACGCGCGGTGATGAACGCGGAACGAATAGGGGCGATCGTCGCGTCGTCGCGATTCTTTCACGGAACTGCACTTCCTTCCCATGGGTACGACCTCGGCGAGGTGGGAAGGTTCAGTACCCAGTACGAGGATTTTACCCAAGCAAAACTCCTCGTTCTGCTTGGATAAAAATCTAAAAGACGGGGAAGCTAACGTACCCCCTCCGTCCGCTGATTTAATTGAACAAACGAACCGCAGCCGGTTCGTTGCGTTTGCTTCGGGAGTGTCGTATATAAGTATTCGGACTAAAGGACTTTTTCAAAGCCCATTTGAATGGGCTTTATATAAACGGGAGTGTCGTACAGTGTCACGCGAGAAAGATTTTATTTATAACTGATTAATTAGTCCGCGCGCGATTGTAATTGTAATTTATTAATTTATTATCCGCGAGTGTTTCTCGCGAGTGTCCTGTGCGGTGAGAGGAGGAGGAGAAGGAGAGACCTGACGTCCTGACAGGAGGAGGAGGTCCGACAGAGACATCGGGCATCGGCGGAGCAACCTTGGGGTAAGTGTATCATCTCTCTTAGCTACATAAAATTAATAATTTGTTTCCATTTATTCGAATTGTTTTATCTTGATAAGTTAAAAGTAATTAAAAAAAGAGAAATATCATCTAAAATTTTATTCTCGTAAAGATCTTTTTCGGTAAAGATAATTGTATTGCCAAATATTTTATTGAAAGACGAATTAGAGTACATGTAAGAATTATTTTTTGAAATGTTGATTATTTTGCGCGCTTCTTTAATTTGAATCTTATGTTTGTATGTTGCAGTATCATCGTAGCTACGTGGCTGAGTAACTCCGCCTGTTGCGCATCGGGTGTTGGTGAGTCAGAAATTTTTTTTTACTGAGGTAACGAATCTACGAATATGTATATAATTAAATATAGAGCAAATGTATCTCGATACGTGTCAAATTATGACAATAAATTATAGTATAAATGTATTACATCTCGTAGATCCGTTGCCTTAAATGGATAAGCTAAAACTGCAATGATTAGGGCAAATATTTAATCTTGGTGTTACCTGTTTATTGTTGTATTTGCGATTGTGCTTGAGGAAATACTCGCACACTTCGCACGCACCGAGCTTTTAAAGAGCTCATATTATCGTTTATTTTATTGCGAATTATGTTTTGACGAACTGTCGCGTTCTATGTAAATAATTTTTAAATAAAATTTTAAATGTTAAATAAAATATATATCAAAATATTTTATCGAATCAAAATTTTATTTCGCGAATTTAAATATAAGTAACGTACGCAGTAAATTAAATTTTTGAAATTTTTGTTACGTAAATTAATTCTACTTACAATTAAAGTAATGATTTTGAAAATATACATTTTTTAGAGCCTTACATACTGTTAAATAAATTTTTTATTTCGATTTCTTCATAAAATAATTTTTATATTTTTTTTTAAACAAAAAAGATAAGAGTATAAGAACAATATTGTGTTAGGTGTTGTAAAAAAAACATCTAATCTGTAGATAGGGAAAAATTATTAATTAGTTAGGATGTGTTATTTATACCCATCTATTTCTTTCCATATATACATATTTATCCAAGATTAAATATTATACAAATCGATGCAAAAAACAATATATAGATATAATGAATAAAAAAGGTAAGAAATATTTCGATTTTATTATGCAATTTATTTCATAGAAAGCTCAATAATGATTTTAATTAATTACTCAAATTTATTTCAACAAAGCATCGATTTTACCCTAATTTTTTGTAGCCCATCCATCTAGTTTTGATTGAGAAATTGGCTTTATGCCAGTCAAGTAATATATGACGTGAGATTGTTAAATATTCTATCGAGAAACGTTGAAACTTTTTCAATTACTTTAGAATTAACACGAATATATATCAAAAATAATTTTGATATAGAAAATGAAAAATATAACGAGATATATTTATATCGATTATGAAAGTTTATAAAGATTTGCATATAAGTATTATTCAATTATAATAATGCGATTATTCATTAATTGTAATATCTAATTATAATACCAATTGTGTGAGAAGTTTCTTTTTTTTTATCTCACGTTATTTATTCTGTATATCTCACTTGATATATTTTCAAGATACGTACTGCATGAACAACATGCACAATATTACGCATCTTCATATTTTCGCGGTCGGTTTTCGTGATCGATTTTCGCGGTTGGTTTTTGCATTGAGAAATTTTTCGTTATTAATTTTTTAATTTCATCCATATTATAAATTTTA